AGGTGGTCAAAGGCATCGAATGCAAACCCTGTGAACGTTGGGCGCATGCTCTGGCATAAACAAGTCATCACACCTTCTACTACCAGAATAGTATGCTAGAGGGGGTTTGTGAAGTGTAGGAATGCGGCTAGGTAAGCCTACTTAAGGCAGCGGGAGGACGGAAGCAAGCAGAGAATCACTGAATATTAGAGATTGGACCGCTTAAATGGACCGTAAGGAAGTATCACATCTCCAAAGAAGTTTAGACGATAGGCCCCACGCGCTCAGCGATACAATTCCCAGAGAGTTAATCGGGACACAGGGATTACGGCCAGTATGGTGAGCGCAGCCATGCAATCGCACTAACAACATGAGGGGTCAGGGCAACGGCCACTGCAAAGCCATCATTAAATCAAAGTGCAATTGGCATCTGTGATATTCTTGTGCATGCGATGCCCGTATTCACATATCACATTAGTCCTGCCTGCCTTCGTGTTATTTAACTACGAGGATTATTTAAATCTTCACACAAATAGTAAACTTTAGTTCGGTAAACGACAACAACAGCGACCGCACCAGAATGCCCATTGTGTGCAGCAAAAGTTTTTGTCTCGGGCCTGGAAAAGTAGTTTCTAATGGACGCCACCGATTACCTTCATCGAAATAGGATAAACAAAAACGAACAACTTAAATCGATCATTGTAAACATCGTGACCGACACACCAGAAGTGATCATCTGACAAAATAACTGATACATAAGTATCTCGGAAAAATTGCTGGGGTGATCACAGAGCCAAAATAAGAATAATTGAGAGGCTAGCACTTTATGAAAAAATGCTCGCACCTCAAGAAGCGCTGACCCAAACTATCGAGGAGCAGAGCAAACTAAGAGTTCAGTAAGGCAAAAGCAACTAGGTGAAGAAAATTCAAATCATAAAACCTACAACTGATGAATATCACAAGGAATGTACCAATCACAGTGAACAGGACAGAAATACAGGGACTTTGCGGTTGGAGCCAATAGGTAATACTATGAATGGCAGAAGATGGTGTGAAGAAGCTGGGAAAGTGGGGGCAGGGGGAGGATGAAAAGCTGGTTGTACGAAACCCGAAAAAATGTTCAGTGTGTATGTACAAGACGTATAAGAAATAAATCTATGGTAGTGTTTAAACAAACCCAAACACGAATTTGATGTGGGTTTCAGAAAACGCTGAACAAATTCGGCGAGAGATGATAAAGTGAAAATACTTGAGATGGGCGTTAATGATAATGATGTTTTAGTTGGAATGAAAAACCTGCCTGTACGCTCATCTCGAGAACATTCATGTATGTGTTTGCGAATGCGCACGCTTAGACTAGTCATAATTGGATTACATTAGTTTCTCGATCCAAATTCATTGTGACCTCACGTATGAGTGCTTCCAGTTCTGCGGCTGTAGACCCCGGCAGTATGCAAAGTATGAGAAAATGTGGAGCGAGAGAAATAATTACAACAAACAAACAAAAGCAGAACATACCAGATAGTATGTGATACTTATTGATTGATGAATTCTTTAGCCTGGCACTGTTCAGGCACAGGATGTACTACTCAAGAAGGAAAACAGTTTTAACTCTGGCCGATCATATTGTTTCATAGCACAAGCCATCAAATAAAATCTCACCAATGTCAAAACATACAAATATAAATCAATCGGCGTCAAATATCAAAACAAAATACTCCACGGACAACCATTAGAACGAGCAACTAACAAAGTGGTATATTCTCGTGAATGCTGTTTGCAGGGTTGATGGGATGACGGTTTGAAAATATATAAACAGAAATATTGGTCCCGACGGTAAATTATAAACAGGATGACCATCAACTAAAAAGTCAGCTAATGAAAGAAATTTTCAATTCAGTTCATCCAACTCTTAGCATTGCATGTGGTGGTTTTCCTTGCTGCCCTCTTGAAAGGAAGTTTAACTTGACTTGACTTGAAGAAGTAGACAGCTAGGAAAAGTAATAGGGTAAATAATCAGAATGCAAGTAAACCGAGCCTGTAAAGAAACCGGATAGATGAACGAGCACCATTGTACACGCCAACCATCCATAAAACGCATTGTTACTGACCATCTATTCGCCTGATCCCGGGGTATTCGGACGGGAACTCCAACGCACGGATCATACACTAATGCACAGTTCTGATGATCAATTTCAGCTTCCTTCCGCCCAACTGTCTTGGCAAACATTGCACACCGGGAAAACCGAACTGGTGATGTGAGAAACACATACCATAAACCGGGTACTAGAACGCTGTTTTTGCACTTGTGTGTGGACAACTTGGAATGTTTCAGAGGTAGCACGAGCTGTCAACATTGATGAAAACACATCCACCCTAATTCACTGCCAGCAAAGTACGTGACCCACCATACGGAGAATTGGGATACACTCATCTCTCTCTGTTTGTCATCAAGCCCAACAACTTCAACATTTGGCGAACAATCATAGTGGTCATCATATTTGGGTAGAAATCGAATGAAAAAACCTAATTTGTTGAAATAAATAAGATCGAATGAAACACAGACCAAATTACTGGTTTTGCTGATTCCATAACATTGTGCTTCGGGTTTTGGTTTTTGTTTCGAAGAGGGACAACGCATGCTGTTGTAACCAGCGATAAGTCACTATCCAATTTACTATGTCCTTTGTCCCCGCAGATAAGATGACCATTTTATGCAATCATGGATAACTGTTAGTTATTCCTTTCACCACTTCTCACTCACTGAATTATAAGGATCGAACAGATCACGCCGTGAAAAGATGCGACGAGGATGAGAGATGATGTGACCAGGGTAAAAAACTATGCGACGAAGCTGAGTAACAAAGGCAGAAGCTGTTGGTCACAAGTTGTTGTCAATGATACTGTTGATAGAGTGCATTTGCCAATTCGGGAATTACAGAGAAATATTTAATTTATATAAGCTACTAAATGTGTTAAAATTGGTCATGCTATTGGGGTGAAATACTGTTAATTCTTTTACTGTATCCTTGTACCACTGTCAAGTACTTTGTCAAGTGGGTCGTTCAATGTCAGAAATATGTAGGTAATTGAGTTTGGTTCAAAGGAATCAGTGTTATTCGATAGAACCTCTTTTTCAATGAAATTTACTCACGGGGCTAGTGAGAGCCTAGACTGAATCCACTTATGCGATGATTCATTCCAACATTTACGTCTGAACATGAGAACCAAGTCATCGATACACCTTGACGTGATTCGCTACATAAGCCGGTTAGCCGAGGTCAATTAACGCCCGGTTCGTTCATTCGCGTCTTAGGCTCACTGGATCAATGGTCAAGGGCATTACATCCCTAGTGGTGGTGGAAAAAGGAATGGTTAAAACCCATTCCACCGAAACCTTCATTCTCACTCGGTAACTCACTCAAAAAGTACTTTTGTTTGTTCATGGAAAAAAATCCGTTCATTCAGACTGGACGAGGTTTTGATATACTCGGTCCAAACGGTGACGTGTGATGGCTGAAGCACCAATCACTTCGTGGGGTTCCCAATAGAATGCGATTGGTGGGATTCATTTTAAGCTACAACGGTTTCATTCGAAGTTGAAAATCTATGGTACATAAACTCGCACGCAGTTGCCCTCCATCCTAAGTATTTGCGTGCGTATGTAGGTGCTGACAAGCAGGGGGACATAAATTCCTTGGGGCACCATTTATCTGTATTAGGAAAATAAGGTAACGTATGTTAGGGTATTGTGTGTGAAGAAAGTTTTCGGGAGCTCAGGTGAAAAGTTATCCTATGTTGAAATTCGTGGAGAAGTTTATCAATAGTACATAAAAATATACTTGGGGGGAAACCGACAAAGTTTATCATCATGTGGGCTCCAATTAGTAGACCTGAACAGACAGCAGTGTTCTAACTAATGGGTTATATTCGTTTCAATGCGTGACAACAACAAACCCTGTCACAGAGGCAGTGTTTCAACCACAAGTCTGAACTGAATCAAACTTCATAAAGTTCAGGGAACAAAAACTTCGAATTGCCGGGTTTCTTGGACATGATTATTCAACATTAATATACCGATTTGTGGCAAAAAACACGTGAACTTCCAAATTCGACGAAACAACAAATAATAAGGATGTTTGCATTGCTAGATCACCAATGATGAGGGGGTCACCTATTTCCGGTTGGTACTACCATTCTCCAAGTGGATAATCAATCAGAGTCCAATCATTACCATCGGACCTTACAGAGAATTTGGTGGAAGCCCATTCTCCGGGTAGATACTTTCATTTCGAAAACGAAGGGCTAATAGTAAAAGAACAATATCCAACCACTAAGTAGCAGTTATACGTGTTTTACACATTCACGGATTTTCCGTAATGGAGTGAGGCCATCGAGCAGTTGTGTTCATTCATTTAGTAAGATACCTGAACGAATGGGAGAATTCTAGATTTTCTGCCATATTGATTACATCAATTTATCAGTTATTCATGATGTGAGATACTACTCACATTTGTGAGTAGCTTGCGAAAGGATGCGATTAGCGGTGTCTTTCAACGGTCAAAAATGAACAAAACCTGTTGGAGCGAAATGCTGCTTACAATATGGCAACTGCAAGAATGCGCATCTACTATCCCGTGTGCATGTGGGAATTCTGAAGACTCGTTCCAAAAGAGACCGTTTGTTGTGTTTGTCAATTTACCGATACCCTGACCGTTATTCATAATAAAAACTATCCTCGACCAAGCACTACCTTGTGGAATTATTACATTACTACTGAAAATAATGAAGGTTGGTGGAAGCACCACTGACAAATTTGAGAAGAATTCAGTATCACAAAGCTTGCATGATATAAAAAGTAATTTACTCGACGAAATTTAGGCAGGCAAGCGACAATGTCAGTCTAACGATATTCGGGGTAGCTGCAGTAGGCCAAGCTGATAGAGGCCATACTTTTCTAAGGAAAACACGCATAAAGATAAACAAACTCAGCCTAACGCAAATGATTCGATAGACGTGTTTTAAGGAATGAGCTTACCAGCATTGGATGAGTCCGGTACGATGGGTCGTGTATTTTCGGTGGCATTAAGTCGAGGCGAAGCATGGAACTTGACTTTACGCCGGTCCGCTTCCTCGTGAGGCGAAACCATCCATTCCAGATCGGCTGTAGATCCGCTCCAGCAGGGGGAACATAGGGTTGGCGAGAGGCGCTCCGACTGTCGACACGCAGTAGACAAACCGACCAAATCTGGACAATCCAGACGCGAAGGGTCTATGACAGACCTGGGCAATTGTGAAGAACGAGTGTCAGCGGGTTTCGGTGATTCTGAGTGGAACAGACAAGCGGTTGCTTGGGTCACAGCTCGTTTCGAAGCAGATTCGAGAGCCAGTTTCTCAACCTCACGTGTTGTGCGACGATGTGCTTGTTCTGCTTTTGCACATCGGGCATCCGCATCACGAACCATAGTCTCCGCTCGGGCTAACCGAGTTGTAAGATCTTCAATCTGACGCTGAAGAGCGATTTTCTCACGCTGACCTTGATCGAGCTCAACACGTAATTTGCTTGTGGTCTAATTAGACGAAAGTGACATTGCACAGGTCGAACAAGGATAACCAATGAGAGACAGAGTGCCAGATCAGTCAGTTTAATGGTGTATTACAACAACAAAAATTGGAATTCATTAGGCAAATATACACTGCTCGGGTGAAGAGAAGATCTAATTTGGTGAAATGAAGCAGATTAAAAAAGCGGAAGTTACGATAAACAACAAAGTCAAAGTTTTATTATGGGAGTAGCTTACAAGCTGGTGCTTCTCTTGTCCCATAGGATATTTACACAGATGAATCGTTACATATCGAAAAAGGAGTCGCATAGAGTTCCAGGTAGGAGATAATAG